CGCTAAGACAGCACACCGAGCCATCCCGCAAGCTGGGGTTGCCCGCAAGCAGGCCTTGGACAACGCCAAATTGCCCGTCTCGTCCAAGAGCGCCCTTCTCGCCAACAACACCAAGGTTCGTACTTCCCTGGCGGACAGGCTCCGCAGGGCTGGGCTGCCGCCTTCCAGAGCCACGGAGGCCGTCGACCTCGGCATCGACACCAACGCGAGCACGCGTCGAGTGCAGCTGGAGGAAAGGAGCAGGGCAGCAGCAGCCACCTCTCGCGCCATGAGAATTGCAAGCGTGCGACGGACCGCCCGGCAGGTACGCATTTCCCGCGGACTCTGGGCCACTGGGGCTCTTCCACAAGGAGTATATGGACACCGAGTCAAGTCCGAGGCCTCGCCCGCCACGCCCGGCTCAGATGGCGACGCCAAGCCGCTGCGGCCACGGCGGGCCAGGCAGCTGGCCGCTGCCTAACCACTCTGCTTGGAGCCAGCTTCGATGGTGTAGATACAGGAGTGCAACTTCGGCTGCAACTACTTCGCGAGTGGCTTCATTTCTGACAAGATACCCCCCACCCTCACCTACGCATCCGACGTACGTGGACTTTCCTCAAGCCGAAGTTAGCCAGGGTCGGCCCACGGATCTGGCCACGCGTCACTGGGCCCACTGGAGCCGCCATCGCCACGCTGTTCGAGGCTGGATGGGAACCCCACCAAGCGGACCACTGGCAACGAGCGCGTGGGTAATATCTCGAGCAGTGCACACTACCCACGCATGGAAGCGAGCCTGCCGACCTCGACGTGCAGACCATCCTCGACGATCTCGCAGAGGACTTGCAGGAAAGGCTCTGGCAAGACGTGGCTCGACATCTACACGGAGAGGGTCTCGAGCGGGGTGCTGACCTGCGCGCCATCCGAGCAGAGCAGCGTCGCTTCCTGGCCAAAGGAAAAAATCATCTTGGGCCCTCATCTCTGCTTCGTCTCGGGAGGCCAATGGCCTGAGCACCGTCTCCAAGAAGCAGGCTACCAGCTAAACGCTGTGTTCGACCGGAATAGCTCTGGGCTAATGGAGGACTTGGTCCACCGTGCCTGCCTTTGTGAGGCCAACACAGGTCCCGAAGTTGCGCAATCTGCCCATCTGATCCCGCGTGCGTTGGCCTGCCACGAGCAAGACCCTGTCCTCTGGCTGGAAGGGGTCCCTCCCTTGTCCTCCACCTCCCCTTCCTTCGAGCCTTGGGGGGCGGGTGAAGGAATCGTCACCATGGAGCCGACTCGGACCGTCTCTGGGAGGGCCACCGCGACACAACCTCGGGACGCCTCTTCCTCTTCGGCGACGGCTCTGGAGGAGCCTTCTCGGGCGATCCCAGGAGGAGGAGGAGGAGGTGTGGCTGGTCCGTCTTTTCGGCGCTCCCAGACGGCCCTGGCTCTTCGGTCCCCTCGAGGGCCGTCGGCAGACTGTGCCGCGCTCGGAGCTCACGGCAGCCGCCATCGCCATCGAGCGCAGCGTCGGACCCTCTTTTACGTTACAGATCACAAGCCGTTGGTACATGGCTGGCACTGCCAGCCATTTACCAGCCTGGCAGCAGGGCTGGGCCACACGAGCCCCTGGACCCTGGACTCGTAAGCTGAAGAACCCCGACTTTGGGGCTAAGATCCGCAGGGCTTTGGAAGCTGAACCAGGACGCAGTGTTGAGATCGATTTGACCTCGTCCCATCCCGACGAGACTCCTGATTTAATCACTAATCCGTTGTATGTTGCTGGCAATGCACTGGCGGACGCCAGAGCCTCACAAGGAGAAGCTCTTTGGGACTCTCGCCGTGCTTGCCCTGCCCCCGACACCGACTCCGTGGATGCCACTGCTGCCCTCGTTCGAGCCAGGTGTCGTGCTGTTCTGCGTTCCCTGGGTCACGACAAGTCACAGCGAGGGGAGCGCTCCTCCACGGCCAGAGTCCCCGCCCCCTCGGCCCGCGCGTTGGCGTTCTCTCAATCTTCCCACAAATTCGAGCGATGCCACCAAGAGTGGCGTTGCGAAGTCTGTGCCCTCCTGGTTGATGATTGCAGAATCGAGGAGGTGGCCAGGACGACTTGCCCTGGGCCCCCTCCTGTCCCCGCACTCGAGACTAGAATGTTCGGGGACACTGCTGTGGTAGAAGCTGGCACCCGTGAACTCCGAGGCCTGGTGGCCCACGCGCCTCACCGTCTCCTGGAGATCCCGAGGTGACAGCTCCTCTTCTGCACCACGTGTAGGCCCCACGGCACTCTCCAGTTTCGCAGCCTCGTCCAGCCGTGCGATGACCCCACCCCCCAGGGCCCTGAGGCCCTCGGTCGAATCCTGCGTGGCCTGCACCTCTCCCATAAGGGCCCACCCAAAATGGTTCTCGAGGCGGAGCACAGGAGCTCCGCCCAGAGGGCCCGTGAGAGGGCCCTAGGCGAGGGTAGGACGGAGGAGAGCGGCGGAGAGAGGCAGGAGTGCGGGGGTGAGGGAGAGGCCGCGCGCGCGCTGCGAGCGGCGCACGAGCGCGCGGCCGCGACGTCCTCAATAACTGCGAGGACGGCCAACCCCCCCGCGCCCCGCCCCCCGCCGTCGGCGTAAGCCCCTCCCCCTTTTCCTTTCCCTCTTTCCGACGTCCCATGTCCATGGCACTCGCAACTCGCAACTCCTCCACCTTTCCCTCCTCCTTCTCCTCCTCCACCTCCTCCCCCCCCTCCTCCTGCTCCTCCTCCTCCTCATCATCATCCTCCTCTTCTCCCTCCTCCTCCTCCTCCCCCCCTCCTCCTGCCCCTCCTCCTCCTCCACCTCCTCCTCCTCCTCCTTCTCCTCCTCTTCCGCCTCCACCTCCACCTCCTCCTTCGTCTCCTCTCCTCCTCCGGCCTCCTCCCCTCCTCCTCCTCCTCCTCCTCCTCCCCCTCCTCCTCCTCCTCCTCCTCCTCCTCCTCCTCCTCCTCCTCCTCAAACGCACGCGGCTCGAGGGCAGTCCGTAGCAATTTGGCTCCCGTCGTTGCTCGTTGTCTTGCCCGTCGCTTTCACGTAACGTTTGGGGGGCACCGGCCATTGGTATTCGTTCGTCGGACGTTCGCGGTGGCGAAGGCGGGCACATTGCAAAGTGCGAGGCTCAGTTTGTTGGCTCCCTTGGCCCAAGTCGGCACTATCTTACGAGTGTTTACTCAGATACGCTACAATATGAGGATTCAAGTCCGCTCGACGTCGAAAGAGAGAAGGAGAAGGAGAATAATGAGGAGGACGACGACGACGACGGCTGCCCGAGGGACTCCGGAGGCCCGTGGCAGGAAGAGGAGACCCCCCGCCCCCGTGAAGAAGCAAGACGGAGGAGGCGCCCCACTCTCCCCGCATCCCCCTCCGGCGGCCGCTGCTGCTCCTCCTCCTCACGCAGGTCTGTGGACGTTACCAGCAGACCCCACAGGCCTCCGGTGGCGTCCAGGGGTTCTACAAAACACCCGACCTCATGATTGTTTCACCGAGTGGCTACCCGGAAATCTGGACCCTACCTGGGGGCCGGCTCTTCATCCTGAGTCGTGTTTCGACGATCCGGGGGCCCATCGATGGCCCCTGGAGGCCGAAAGCAGGAACAACCGTCCTCCGCGTTGTCTTGTTCACGACGCGAGGATGTCTGGGGAGGCGTCCAAAAATCTCAATCATCTGCTGCCCTCGACAGCGCGGCGATCGCTGATCTGGGCAGAGCAGAGCCAGACGTTGAGACCCGACGTCGCGAGAGGGTGGCAACATCGCAGGACATCTCCACCGGAGCTCTGCACCGCGACGTCCTGCAACATCTCTGGGGCCGCATCGATCCGAGAGGGTCCCACGGCCCGCCACGGGCCCCAATCGCCCCGCGCTGGAGGAACCAACAGGTACGGTAGGTTCGCGCGGCGTCGGCGCGCGCAAAGGTTTTCGACACCACGTCGATCATTCAACCTTGAATCGATCGCGGCCCCGATCGTTCAAGGTTGAATTCCGTCGGGTCCAATGGCGTAACTGTGTTCCTCGGTGCTTCCGCGTCGCAGAATTCAACCTTGAACGCCTCCGCTAGCGTCGCTGGCGCGCCAACGCCGCATGAACCAACAGGTACCGATGCTGCTGCTCCCTGGACCGCTCCCGGGGTGCATCCTCACCAGAGTCTCGAGGCGAACCCAACGGTGGCGACGAAGGCCTTCCAGGAGGCCCCCAAAAGGGGAAAAACACGAGGGGAGGGGAGCGGTATCGGTACCTTTTGCTCTTCGACTCCCAGGCAGGATCTCGACCAGGTGTCCAGAGCTTTCGGTCGTCTGACTACCTACCAAACTACCCAAACCCAGCCCGAAGACCCAGATTTCGGGTTGGGAGGGGTACGGGTTCCACTTGTGTGTTCTCAGTGATCCCCGACGCACCCTCCCTACTGGGAATGGAGGGCACATTGGGGCCAAAGGGTTGGGTTGGCAGAGGCCTCCTAGACGGTGTCGGGCGATCGTGCCGCACCGTCGAAACATCGTCGATGCATCGGCGATGAATGGCGATGCAGCGGCGACGCCGGCGATGCCTCGGCAACGTCGGCGTCAAGAAAATTGGCCTCCGCATCACGTCGCATCGGCGATGCATAGGCGATACGGCGCGATCCCCTGAGATCCGACGTTGCAAGAAAAATTGCAACATCGAAAACATCACGACTGTGAGGGTCCCAGGATCCGAAATTGAGCGAAAACGCCCGGTGTGAAAAAATTGCAACGCCAGGATCCACCGACCCCATCCACTCGGACCCCATCTGGGAGGCCTAGAGCTAGGTCGGGCATGTCCCCCTAAAGGAGAATTGTGAAAAATGATCAAGAAATATCAGAAAATAGCTGGAACTACTGGAAACATCGTCCCCAGACTATGTTTGGACCATTCTTGAATATTCCTCCTGTAGCGGGACACGCCCGACTTAAGCCTGGAGCTGGGGTGGTCTGTGATGCTCGTCGACCCTTGGCCCACGGCGAGGAGACGCCGACCCTCGGCCCACGGGGGCGGGGGGCGAGGAGCCGCATGACGCGCACGCCCTCGAGCCCGTGGACGAGCACGCGGTCCATGCGGGCGGGCGACGCGCAGGCGCTGCCCTGGTTGCCGTGGTACGTGGGGCCTCTCTCTCTCTCTGCCTCTCGCGGGTGGGGAGAAACAAAAAATAAGGTCACAAGACTCTCTACCTCTCACCCTCTCGGGTGGCGGCAAAGAAACAGACTCTCTGTTTCTCTCTCTCTCTCTATATATATAAAGTATATCGCCCGTGGAAGAAGAGTAAATCAACAACACATCGAACACAAGACCACCAAGAACAACAACAACACCACCACCACGAACAACAACACCAGCAACAATAATAATAAGAATAACAAAAACACCGCAAACAACAATTACACCACCACCAACAACAACAGCAACTCTAACACAAACACCAGCAACAAACACATCAACAACAACGGCCATCGTGTTAATAAGATTGGCTCGTAACGGCCCTCGTGCAACTCGGCACTTATATCCAAAACCCTCGATACCAGCCCTCTGTGTCTTCAATCGTACCCCCTTGGGGATGTATCTTTCTTACCTGCAACGTGTAATTCGTGCAGCCTCTAAGGCAGGGGAAAAGAAGACGGATGGAAGGGAGGAGCAATGGGGAGGGAGGAGGATGGAGCACGAGACAGAGTAGCAGGAAGGGGGCTAGGAGCAGAACAAACGTGGCAGAACCAGACGGGTACTTCGGGCGGGTCGGGAAGGAGGGCCCAGGCGGCCAGGTCGACAAGGCCGGCAGCTGAAGCGTGAGTCCTGCATGAATCTCGCAGAAGACCCCCCCCCCCGTTCCACCTGTACATGCGACCCTGCTCGCCTCACTCTCCTCCCATTCATTCCCCCCCTGTGCTCCTACTCCTCCTCATCCACCTCTTCCTCCTGTCCCCTTCCTCATCTTCCTCCCCATGCTCCGCACCCTCCTCCCCGACCTCAGGGTCGGCGGCACCGGCCGTAAGGCCTTTGCAATAGTCATAACATCTTCAAAAATAATCGAACAATTGTAGAAATACGTCCCCAGACTATGTTCCCTATTTTGATTAGTCCTGCTATTGAGAGACCACGCCCGACTTACGTCTGGAGCCTTCCAAAGCGGCCTCAAGCGCGCAGAACCACCGCCAGGACCGAGACGAACAGCGCGACGGCCCGAGTTCCACGGGGGAGCCCGCGACCCCGCCGGCCAGTGCTGACCCCTTGCCGCCGCGCGGACGTCCACTCCCCGCGCATCTGGCTGGTCACGCGCGCGCTTCTGCCGCAGGGTGGCCAGGTATCCAAAGATACTCAAAGATATCCAAGTAAATTCAAGCCAAACGTTTTGAGATTTGGGCTTGAATTCGTGACTGGTCCTGGGCCGGAAAACGCGCCGTCTGGTCGACCAGCTCCCCCTCGGGTAACCGATGCAAGCTGTATGGCGCGACGCGCATGCGCTGCTGCTGTTTGCAAGGGGTGGGCCCAGACCTGGCGCGCTCAGACGCGAGCGCGATCACGCGATGCGGGTGCCGACGCGAGGTCGAGGTCATCCCACGAGAAAACTCCCCCGACCCCCCTGCGGCCAGCACTACAAGTCACTCCAGCGAAGGGTCACTCTTTAAGAGTGACCCTTCGAAGACTTACGTAAGACTTACGAACGACGACACGTAAGACTGACGTGTCGTGAGACGTAGTGACTAAAAGTCACTCCGACGACACGTAAGACTTACGCGTCGTCGGGAGAGCGGCGCACGCGCCCGAGCGGTGCAGAGACCGCCCCCCCCGGCACGGCCCGCGGGCGCAGGCGCGAGCGGGCTCGGGGGGCAAGCGCAGGGCGAGGGCCACGCTGGCTCGGGCGGAGGGCGACGGCGGTGCGGGCAGGCAGGGCGAGCGGGGCCGATGGGGGCGAGCGGGGCCGATGGGGGCGAGCGGGCCGCTCGCCATCGCTCGGACGTCCATTCCCTGTGTTTGTTTCGGATTCGTGCGTGGTTTGTTCTGCAAATGGTCCAGGATGCTCCTCGAGGGTCCTCGCCGAGCAACAAAAAACGCACACGTCCGAGCGATGCCGGTGCGGGCGAGGGGCCGAGGGGCCGAGGGGCCGAGGGGGCGGAGCGAGGGGCCGAGGGGGCGAGGATGGCGATAGGGCGAGACCTCCCATGGCACTGCCCGGGCCCCCCCCCTCCGCGGGGGCGCGACGGCGGGCGCCGGGGGAGGGCCCGAGGAGGGCGCCGGGGGCCGGGCCTCTCTCCGACCCGCGCAGCTGGGGCCACAGGTCGGCCCAGTCCTCGGGCGGGGGAGCGCCGTCTGTCTCGGGTGGCCGCCGCCGCCGCCGCCGCCGCCGTCGTTGCCGCCGTCGCCATCGACGCCGTCGCCGCGTTGCCGGCGCAGCCGCCGCCGCCGCCGTCGTTGCCGCTGTCGCCGCCGTCGCCGCCGCCGCCGCCGCGGTCGCTGTTTTCCGTCTCCATCGGCGTCGTCGCCGCCGTCGCCGCCGTTGCCGCCGTCGTCGTGGCCGCCGCCCTATTGTGGTGGTCGTTCTCTTACGGACCCCTGGTGCTTCCTGATGCCCTTTCTTTCGCCTTAGGGTAAACTCTCGGGGGTGCCTCGTCGCCACGGCTGGGTGCCCTCTCGGGGGTGCCCAGTCGCCGTGCTTCGGGGCAAGGAAAGGGAAAGAGGGGATGCTGGGCATCTCCTGGGACATCCCCATGAGTGCGACCAGGAACTACTATGCCAGATTCAGGGGCTCCGAATCCAAAGTCGCCCAGATTGCGCCCCATCTCATGCAGATTTGGCCCGATGTGGGCCGAACGAGCGACTCAACCCTGGAGGAGCTGCAGCCACAGGAGAAACAGGGAAGACGGTGGGGAGGAGGGGATGACGAGGCGCTACGCGCTTCGCCTGTGGGTCCTGTACCACCCGTCTGTGTTGCGCACGCGCGCTTTTTTTTCTGTCCCTCTTTCATTATCTCTCCCTCTCTTCTCTCTCTATCCGTCTTGAAATATATCTCGATTGCTATCTCTCTCTCTCTCTCTCCTCCCCTCTCCCTCTCTATATATACTTGCACTCACATGTAAGTATGTATGCATGTGTGTTTCTCTCGCTCGGTCTCTTTCTCATCTCCAAATCGCCGTGGAGGGACCATCCAGAGCATCCAGGACGTGCACACTCATGTGGCAAAACGATGCACAAGATGAGGATGAGGAGAGATGATAACATGAGGAGGATAGGATTGAGGAACACTAACATCGGCGGACGTATCTCTCACAACTCATGGCTCCTCCAAACCATCCCGTTTCCCTCCTCCTCATTTCCTCATCCGACTCTGGACCGGGTCTTCCTCTTCAGGGTTCTCCTCCCCCTGTCCGCATCCCCCAATCCCTTTCCTCTTCCCCATTCGTCCTCCACACCACACCCTGTTCCTCCTCCTCCTCCTCTTCCTCCTCCTCCTCTTCCTCCTCCTTCCCCTACTACTACTATTACTACTACTACCACCACCACCACCACCAACACCACCACCACCACCACCACCACCAATACTACTACTACTACTACTACTACTACTACTACTACTACTACTACTACTACTACTACTACTACTACTATTACGACTACTACTACTACTACCACCACCACCACCACCACCCACCACCACCTACGACTACTACGACTACTACTACTACTACTACTACTACTACTACTACTACTACTACTACTACTGCTACTGCTACTACTGCTACTGCTACTGCTACTGCTACTGCTACTGCTACTGCTACTGCTACTGCTACTCTACTGCTACTACTACTACTACTACTACTACTACTACTACTACTACTACTACTACTACTACTACTACTACTACTACTACTACTACTACTACTACTACTACTACTACTACTACTACTACTACTACTACTACTACTACTACTACTACTAGTACTACTACTACTACTACTACTACTACTACTACTACTACTACTACTACTACTCCTGTTACGACTACTACTACTACTACTACTACTACTACTACTACTACTACTACTACTACTACTACTACTACTACTACTACGACTACTACTGCTACTACGACTACTACTACTACAACAACAACAACTACTACTACTACTACTACTACTACGACTACAACTACTACCCTTACTACTACTACTACTACTACTACTACTACTACTACTACTACTACTACTACGACTACTACGACTACTACGACTACTAGTATTACTCCTTCTGCCCTCCCCGTTCCTCCTCTGTCTCTCTTGTCCCCCGTCCTCGTTCCACTCCAAGCCCTAGAGTTTCCCCCCTTCCGAACACATGCTAGACCCTCCTCCTAGATCCCGAACTCTTTGCAACACTCCCTCGACCTCCCACTGAAACAAACAACACCCAAGACACCCCATCGACGCTCCAATTTACCTCTCTCCCCACACACATATGCACCAATGCATACCCGAAAGCATTATTCAACCCCTCCTTGCAATCCTCCTCCTCCCCCCTCGCCGACGAGACTGACGAAACGAACGAAGACGTGATCGACAATCAACGACAACGACGACGATCAAGACTCTCCTCGGGAAGCTGGAGTTCCCCGTCCGTCTTGATCCAACTGAAGTCGCCAAGCCATACAACGCCCTGCTGCCGCACGACGACGGCGACGAAGCCGAGGAACAAAGCACTGCATGTACATAACATTTCGGAGGTCCGCGCGAATTCCTTGAGTCGGCGCTGGACACTCCTCCCTGGCGCGCGGAACGCGCTAAGGGCGGCGCTAGAGGCGCCGCGGGGGGGGGGACCCGCGCAACTCCATGAAATCCATGCGGAACTGCCGAAGCGTATGTGAATGACATGTATGTTTCTTCGAGACGAAGCCAGGAACGACGACGATGAAGAAATGGATGGGGGAGGAAGCTTTCGGACGGGGTCAATTGTGTCTGCGGCGGTCTCTGAATGGCGCTCGCAGGTCTCCAAACGGTGACAAGGAACCTTCGATTGCCCGCGTGCCCCCTGGGCGTTTCCAGGGGTAAGCAAGAACGGGAAGAGGAGAACAGGGCGCGAGAGGAGGCGAGGAAGAGAATGAAGAAGAGGATTGAATTATGCGAAGCTGAGAAAGTGGAGACAAGGTGCGCTGCTGGAGGAGAGAGGGGGTGAGAGAAGAAAGGGAAAGGGAATAATAACCACGGATAACTTGACGGAAGGGATGCTACGACACGGATCGGATAGTTCGGAACACGAGCGAAGATACCGAGAAGGAAAACATAGACGGTAACCCAAACATGACATGGGCTAGAAGGGTCAGAGGGAGCCCAAGGAACAAAACAGGAGGACGAGGTGCCGCGGACGACGGGAGCAGCGAGAATGTATAAACAAGCCATAGGGGAGAGCGTGCGAGGATGGGGGCGAGAGAGTGGACGAAGAAAAGGGCGAGAGCGAGGAGGGCGAGGACGAGGAGAGCGAAGACGAAGAGTCGGAGGATAAGGGTACAGTCGAGAAGTCTTGCCTTAGGGAGCCATACACATGTAATACTGGGAGAGAGGGAGAGAGGGGGGGAGGGAAAGGGGAAGAGATAGAGACAGAGAGCGAACGGGGACAGACAGGGAACTCTGTGCCCCCCCTTCCCCCCCCCTCCCGGTCCTCCCGGTGGGCAGTGGACAAGGGGGACAACGAGGGGGTGGTCCCCCTGTGGATCAAAAGAACCCAGGGCCCTTTCCCCCTACCCCCCCCCTCCTGGCCCCCCCCCTGTGGACGAGAGAGTCTGCATCCTGGCTCGAGTCTGCATCGCTGGGCCGCGGCCGCGCCGCGCTCGCTGCGGGGCGACACCTGGCACGTTCGCGCGGCAGCGCCGCGGCGCCGAGGACGCAGGCCCGCGGGGCGCTCCCGGCGGCTGCGGGCCGCGGCGGGCCTCGCGGCGGGCTCGCTACCAGCCGGGAGTGCCGCTGCTGCGCGCCGCCGCGGGCGCCCGCCACGCCGCCGCCCGCGGCTGAAGCCCGGCGCCGCGCCCGCCCTGCGGGCGGCGAGGGCCTGGGCGTGGCGGCCAGGGAGCCGGCGCCGGCGGGCCGCCGACGCGCTGGGCGTGGCGGCCGCCGAGGCGAGCGCCGAGGCCGATAGGGCCCGCGCCGCGCCCGTGGACGCCGAGGCTGCAGGCGGCGGCCGCGGGCCGAGGCGGCGGCGGCGCCGCCCGGGGCCCTGCGCCCGCTGCTGCCCAGCGTGGTGCTGCCGCCGGGCCTCCTCCGCGTGCCCGCGGCGTTGGAGAAGGCCGGGCTCCTGGCTGACGACTGATGGGCTGGTACGCTCCTCCGCCATGGCCGCGGCGGAGGGGGCGGGCGGCCCGCGGGGCGGCCTGGGGGCGGCAGCCGCTGTGGCTCATCTACTGGCGCTCTCGGTGCTGGTGTGGAGGCTGTGGCCGCTTCCCCGTCTGCTGGACGGCCTATTGCTGACGTTGCTACGCTCAGGGCTCGATTCGCGGACCTGGACGAGGCAACGCGCAGGGCCGTCCTCGGCGACGATCTAGACGCGCACTACTCCGACATCGGCGGCGTCGCGCGCTCGTCCAAGTAGGTCGCTGGGCTGGGCGGGGCTGCTCCTGTGGTTCTCGTTCGGCCTCTTCCATATCGTCATCTTCTGAGGACCGTCCCGCCAGCTGTTTGCCTAGACAGACGGCTGCGCCAGGCCTCGTCCGTCGTCCCTGTGGACAGGGGGGACAGGGGGGTGTCCCCCTGTGGACAGGGGGGGACTCAGGACCACTCCCCGCCTCAAAGTGGACGAAGGGACTAATAACCCTCGCTCCTTCCCGACCCCCTGCCGGAAGCACCCTCCTCACTCGGAACTGATGTTGCGGGGTGCAGATCTTTTCCCACATGCTTCCAAGGGGCCCGCTCCGAGTCGGCTCCAAGTGACTACGGAGCTTCCCAAGAAATCCCCCAAGAGTCTCCCCAACGGATACCAAGAGGCTCTCGAGAGAATCACAAGAGGAGCTCTAGAGCGTTGTCGTCGTCGACGTCGCCGTCGCCGTCCACATTCGGGGTCGTCGGCACCGGCCGCAAGGACTTACCAATATTCTTGGAGAGAGGGAGAGAGGGGGAGAGGACAAGAGGAATATGTATACATCAAAATGAGGCAGCTAAAACAACGTGCACGTTAGAGTGCAGATTGGCAAAGGGAGATACGGCCAGGATCTTGTGCTCAGCATGTCGCGGCGACGGCCCCGTGCAAGTGGACAATCAGCGTGTCGGCTACACGCAGGAGTGGCCCCTTGGTGAGAGTGACCTTCGGTGCGCGGCTTTTGGGGGGCCGCGGGGGGACCGAACACAAGCGCGCCGCATCGTGTTCGGCGGCCGGGGGGCCCCATTCGGGGATCCTCTGACCCGGGTCAATCCAGACCCGGGTCAGCAGGAAACCAAAAACTGCAATGCAGGACAAAAAAACTGCAACGCAGGTCCTCGCAAACCCGGGTCAGCCAATACGCGCGGCCGCCTCGCGGCCACGAGCGGCTCCCTAACCCGGGTCAGCCAGAGGGGGCCTTCGCAGGATCCTGCAGGATCCGGCGCCCTGGCTGACCCCCGTTTGCACTGACCCCCGTCTCGAGGCTCCCGACCCATCGGGCCCGCCCACAGGTCACTCCGGCGAAGGATCACTCTTACGTCTAGTCGAGCGTGACGCTCCGCTCCCAAGGGAGGGGCTGACCGGCCAGCCAGAGCCAGCGGCGCGACACTCCTCCTCCTCCTCCTGCTCCTCCTTCTCCTCCTCCTGCTCCTCCTCCTCCTCCTCCTCCGCTCCTGCTCCTCCTCCTCCTCCTCCTCGTCCTCCTCGTCCTCCTCCTCCTCCTCCTCCTCCTCCTCCTCCTCCTCCTCCTCCTCCTCCTCCTCCTCCTCCCCCTCTTCCTCCTCCGCCTCCTCCTCCTCCTCCGCGAACCAAATGTTCCTGACCGTGAGCGAACTCGCAGAGTGTGCTGACGCTGGCGCTGATGAGCAGGACCGCGCTGCAGGCCGCGGGGCTGGCCCCCACGAAGGGCGGGAGCGGCAGATCTAGACACGAGCCCTCCTCCTCGCCCTGCTCGCCCTCAGGACCCCTCCCCAGCAGGAGGAGGAGGAGGAGGAGGAGGAGGAGGAGGAGGAGGAGGAGGAGGAGAAGGGGCGGGAGGAGGAGGAGGAGGAGGAGGAGGAGGAACACCCCCACCCCCGCCCGCCTCGCCCTCTTTATCCCCTCTCCCCCCACCCACCCCACACCCCCTCGCCCTCCCCCCTCGCCCTCCACCCTCGCCCTCCCCGCCGCCCGTGCCCACCTCCCCTCTCGCCCGCCTCGCCCCCCTTGCCCTCCGCGCCTCCTCGCCCTCCCCGCCCTGCGATGACCGCCGCCCGACGAGGACGGCGACAGGCGGGAGGGCGGCGGCGAGCGGGCCAGCCTGGCCCTCCAGCGCCTTGTCGTGCAGCGCGGCCGCCGCCTGGCGGCTGCGGCCCCCGCCCTCCCACTCGTCGCTCGCTCCCTCGCCTCCCCTTCCACCTCGTCCTCTTTCCTCCTCCTCCCCCTCCTCCTCCTCCTCCTCCTCGGCCTCCATCTCCACCTCCTGCTCCTTTTTGACGCTGCGCAAACTTAGGGCGGCAGCCTGGAGCGACTGGATGTGAGAAAACAGATGACGCCGACCTGGCGGAGCAGAAAACATATTGAAACTGGCAGGCGCAGCAGACTACGTAAAGCAAAACTAACAGAAAAGACGAGGGCCTACATTCGCTCAGAGTACAACTGGCCCGTATCATAGAGAATGTGCGATAAGGATGCAAGGGTCTTGGACGCCATGTTCAAGCTTTTCGGGCAGGGCGCGGCTAACGAACGTGGCTAAGGATGGACCGATGAGGCAAGGATACCAGGGTACCCATTGGAAGGAAGCCCATCCTTAATATGCGGGTTGACTGCATGCGCCCGCTAGGCGGTATGCAGGAGGAGGGACCGACAGAACAAACACCGAAGACGAGCAATACCAAAGTCACAAAACGAACAACTCGACAACGAGGGAAAGAGGGATCGATAACCGCGTGCACATTCTCAAAGACTGAAATGGCGATTTTCCTCCTCCTCCTCCTCCTCCTCCTCCTCCTCCTCATCATCATCATCATCATCATCATCATCATCATCATCATCATCATCATCATCATCATCATCATCATCATCATCATCATCATCATCACACCACCACCACACCACCACCACCACCACCACCACCACCACCACCATCATCATCATCATCATCATCATCATCATCATCATCATCATCATCATCATCATCATCATCATCATCATCATCATCATCATCATCATCATCATCATCATCCTCTTTCTCCTCTTTCTCCTCTTTCTCCTCTCCTCCTGATCCCTGGGCTCCTTCTCCTTGTGTCCCTCGCCACTTGTTCCTTGGAGGTGTCCGTGGGAACGGTAAACGACAATCTTGCGCCCAAGAATGACGGGCTACAAATCCGATCTCGGCCGGACTGAGCCCAGGACGAAGCCAGACTCATCGACTAGACGGCATTCGGCCGGATTTAGGAGGTTCTCGTCCGAGGCTGTTCCAGCGGCGATGCTGAACTTCACCTCCCCGCAATGGCGTCCTGGCCTGCCCCCGGTGGGCCTCCGGACGGCGTCGGGCGCCCCCGGCGCCAGCCTGGCCTCCCGAGGCTTCCCGACCCACCCCCCTCTGGGGGCCCGCAGTCCAGGCGCGGGCGCGCGCCGTCTGCACGGCCAGCGCTCACAGATCATGGGGGCAGATGCAAGGCACGCTTTGCCGAGGCGGCACCGTCCACGGCCACTGCCAGAAGCCACGCCTCCGTGAGGAGCGGAGAAGCACAAGCTGCTTAGCTCCAGCTTTTGCTTGTCAGTGGCCCCGCGGCTGGCTGTTCCCATCCCCACGCTGCACGATCCGAAGACCCTCGCCTGGTTCACCGCCACCTCGCCCGCCGCCTCCACGGGGTGCACCGTCTATGCGTTCGCTCGTGCGGGGGTCGGGCTCGGGCACAAGATGTTTCAAGTTCCGGGCAGATGCTAGCCCAAAGTCTGGGCGCGCCCTCGCCGAGAAGCCAGGCGCGTCGAGCTGCGGAGCTGCTCTGGGGCTCCCGTCGGTGCCTCCGCACTTGGGCGGTTCGCTGCTCGCTCGGCCCCTCCTCGGGACGGCACCATCGCGCACCGCGTGTGTTGCCTCTTCCCGGATTGGGATGAACGCCGCGCCGCTTCCGTCCCTCCTCCTCCTCCTCCTCCTCCTCCTCCTCCTCCTCCTCTTCCTCTTCTTCTTCTTCTTTTTCCTCCTCCTCCTCCTCCTCCTCCTCCTCCTCCTCCTCCTCCTCCTCCTCCTCCTCCTCCTCCTCCTCCCCCTCCCCCTCCCCTCCCCTCCCCCTCCTCCTCCTCCTCCCTCCTCCTCCTCCTCCTCCTCCTCCTCCTCCTCCTCCTCCTCCTCCCTCCTCCTCCTCCTCCTCCTCCTCCTCCTCCTCCTCCTCCTCCTCCTCCTCCTCCTCCTCCTCCTCCTCTCCTCCTCCTCCTCCTCCTCCTCCTCCTCCTCCTCCTCCTCCTCCCCTCCTTTCCTCTTCCTCCTCTTCCTCCTCCTCCCTCCTCCTCCTCCTCCTCCTCCTCCTCCTCTCCTCTCCTCTCTCTTCCCCTTATTATTCCTCTTCCTCCTCCGCCTCCTCCTCCTCCTCCTCCTACGCCCCTCCTCCTCCTCCTCCGCTCCTCCTCCTCCTGTTCCTGCTGCTGCTGCTCCTCCTCCTCCTCCTCCTCCTCCTCCTCCTCCTCCTCCGCTTCCTCTCCCTCCTTCTCGGGCTCCTCCTCCTCCTCCACCTCCTCCTCCTTTTCCTCCTCCCCTCCTCCTCCTCCTCCTCCCCCCCCTCTTCCTCCTCTTCCTCCTCCTCCTCCTCCGCCTGCTGTTCCTCCTTTTCCTCCTTGTCCTCCTTCTCCTCCTCCACCTCCTCCTGTCCTTTTCCTTCTTGTCCTTTTCCTCCCAGTCCCCCTCCTCGTCCTCATCTTTCTCCTCATTCACTTCCTCCTCGTCTTCCTCGTCTTCCTCCTCCTCCTCCTCCTCCTCCTCCTCCTCCTCCTCCTCCTTCTCCTCCTCCTGCTCATCCTCATCCCCACTTCCAAACTCACGCGGCGCTTTGAGCTTCTTAGCTCGGGGACGCGTCGGCCACCGCCGCCCTCTCCCTTGTCGGTGGCCCTGACGAGGTTGGGGGAGAGGGTGCCGAAACGCGCCCAGAGTCCAGCAAGGCATGAGGGTGCAAACCCGACTTGTCTGGCTGATGCTCTGGGGGGCCGGTGCAAACCCGACTTGTCTGGCTGATGCTCTGGGGGGCCTGTGCTCAGGGGAGGCTGCAGCACCGCTCAACGATGTGCTGTTTAACCGAACCTGCAGGGTGGGCCCTTTCCCAACTCCGTGCTTCGGTGCGGATCGTAAGCGCGCCTCGTCTCCGTCGTCGTCGTCGTCGGCGTCGTCGTGGTCGTGGTGCGTGTTGCTCTGCTCGGGATTCTGTTTCCCTTATGCAGTGACCACCCCCTCGGCTTGCCAGGCATTGCACGCCGCCTGGCTATCCGTCCGTCCGTCTGTCTGTCTGTCGTCCCGGCTCTCTGAACCGCGGCGCTTTGAGCTTTTTAGCTCGGGGACGCGTCGGCCACCGCCGCCCTCTCCCTTGTCGGTGGCCCTGACGAGGTTGGGGGAGAGGGTGCCGAAACGCGCCCAGAGTCCAGCAAGGCATGAGGGTGCAAACCCGACTTGTCTGGCTGATGCTCTGGGGGGCCTGTGCTCAGGGGAGGCTGCAGCACCGCTCAACGATGTGCTGTTTAACCGAACCTGCAGGGTGGGCCCTTTCCCAAATCCGTGCTTCGGTGCGGATCGTAAGCGCGCCTCGTCTCCGCCGTCGTCGTCGTCGGCGTCGTCGTGGTCGTGGTGCGTGTTGCTCTGCTCGGGATTCTGTTTCCCTTATGCAGTGACCACCACCACCACCCACTTCCAAACTCACCCCTCCCTTGACATCCTCGCGTCGCGAATCAAAATGTGTTTCCTAAGTTTTCGGCCGCTCGAAGGCCCAATTGGGCCCCCGCGGGACATTCGCGAAACTGCCCGGAATGAAAAGCCAGTTTGGAAGGAATCGCGGCGCAAAGTTGTGAACGAAACTCGGCGCAGGCACTCTGGGTCCTCCGCAAGTCCGCTCGATCGGGGCTGGAACACCCTGGAGCGTCCCAAAACATTTCGAGCCCTTTCAGACTCTTCAAACCCACCCTCCTCTCCTCCTCTTCCGTCCATCCCTCCCGTCTTCCTCCCCCTCCACCCTCTTCTGTGGTCATCATTCCTAATTCCCCTTCCTCCTCCCCTCCTTTTCCGCGCCCCCTTTTCCCTCCGGGTTCTGCCCCCGCACGTCGTCTTCATCCCGCGCGCTAGCGGGAGAGGGAGGAAGAAAACGACGACGGCGACAATGACGACAAATGTGACGACGACCATGATGGCAGCGCTGATGATGATGATGATGGTGATGATGATGGTGATGATGATGGTGATGATGATGGTGATGATGATGGTGATGGTGATGATGATGATGAAAATAATGACGACAAAAAGTTTGCCTCCCCCACCCAAGCGCGGCCGCTGCGATCTAGTCTACTCCTGTCGAAACCGCCCCTGTCGAAGCCGCCCAGGCCCTTGCCGTGACCGCTCCCGTCGTGGCCGAAAATGTCGTAGCCGCTGGCCCCGTCGTAGCCGCCGATGCGCAAGCCGCTCCGGCACTCGCCACGCCTGTCCCCACCGCTCCGCGAGTGGCAGGTGCTTGTCGGAGACGTTTCTGTCGTGGCCGCGCTCGTCGCGGCCGTCGGCGTCGCGCCAGGTGGGCGTCGGGGGCGAGGCTCGCGTCGAAGCCGTCGGCGTCGTAGCCTTTGGAAGTGTAGCCATGCCTGCTGTAGCAGCTTCTGTTGTGGCCGCAGACATCGTAGCAGTTCTCGCCGCAGCCGCCTTCCAGGTAGCCCCGTCTGTCGTAGCCAACGCTGATGGGGCCGTTCTTGTCGTGACCTTCCTTGTCGAAGCCGTGCATGTTGTAGCCAGCGGGGTCGTAGCCGAGCGTACTGCGGCCACTCTCGTCGAAGCCGTTCTTGTCGTAACCGGTGCTATCGTAGCCGTTGCTGTCGTAGCCGCGCCTGTTGTAGCCGCTGGAGTGGTCGCCGTCTGTTGTAGCCCCGCGTTCGGTAGCCGAGCCAATTGTAGCTGTTGTAGTTGTTGCCACCCGCGTCGAAGCCGCTCTTGCCGTAGCCATTGGAGTCGTAGCCGTCAATGTCGTAGCCGTTCCTGTCGAAGCCGCGCAGGTCGAGCCCGCTGCCGTCGAAGCCGTCTTCGTCGTAACCGCTCTTGTCGTATCCACTGGCGTCGGAGCCGTCCTTCTGTATCCGTTCCAGCCGAAGCCGTCCTTGTTGCAGCCGTTCGCGTCGAAGCCGTGCATGTCGTAGCCGCGGCGGTCGTAGCCTTGCGCGTTGTATCCGTTGAAATGGGAGCCGTCCGTGTCGTAGCCGCTTCTGTCGAAGCAAGCTTGGCTGTAGCAAGTGGAGTCGTGACAATCGAATCGCAGCCGCTTGCGTCGAAGTCGGCGTAGCTGTAGCGAGCGGAACTGGGGTGACCAGCAGGCTGAACTACAGCACAATGAAACATTATACGGGGCACCCCGCACGCGCTAGAAAGAGAAGCGCCTCAAGAAGGCCAACACCATGAAAACCATGTCGCGGAACTTTCGTGTTCTGCGCTACTGAGATCACCGTCGTGCCGCGCTGGAGCAGGTCGACTCCGCGGCGGGCCAGGCCCACCAAGCGACTCGCCGTCAGCAGGCCGACCAGGTCCTCCAACGCCGCCCCCAGGACCAAGGCCAGCAGCAGCGCCAGAAACTCCATGAGCAGGCGGATCCGTGATGAAGATATCCACCTTCACATCGCCAAACGAATGCTTATGTCCGCGATCGGCGACGCAACCGCGCATCGCCTTGTCCTCCAGTTCCGCTAAGACGAGCGCAACAACGGCCCGTAAAGTTGTGAATGGCCTTGACCCTCTGCACCACCGAAGCGGGGTTGACGGACACCGCAAAGAGCAGATTGACGTCGTCACCAGGGAACTGCCACAAGAAACGCACTCGAAACACCACCACCATCACGGGAAGAATTGCTGCACCACGGTTCAACGAAACCAAACACGCGTCACCGAAGCCTTGAGGCAAGTGGTGATGACAATGATCAGAATGACGGCAACGATGTTGATGATGATGTTGATGATGATGGTGATGACGACGGCGAAACTTGTCATGCTGTTGTTGATGAAGATGATGATGATGTTGATGGCGAGGACGATGGCGAAAATCACGCGGATGAGGACGAGGAGGATCAGGAGGGGGACGAGGAGGGGGAGGAGGAGGAACGCCAGTACCTACGGGAGCGCCAGCATTCACCATCAACGCCTCGCTGTCAGCCGCGAAAGGGACAGGGGGAGGGGGGAGAAGGAAGGGATGTGGCGAGACGCGGAATGCGATGGTTCAATCGAGATCGCAAATCGTGATAAATGACGCCGAGAGCCTGCCCCAATGCTACCGCAAGACGCCGCGACGCTGCGCGACATCAGACAGACGAAGGGAACGCACGCACCGCAGCTGAACATGCAGCTGCCAGCTTTGGTGCGAGGGGGGCGCCGACCATGACGCAGACGACGACGCAGACCACGACAACGACCCACACCATTTGAGAGGTTTCTTGTTGAGGCTGCTCCTGTTTAATCACGAGCGCTACTTCACTTTGGCCAGATTCGCGCCAGGCGCGCCAACCCTTGTTCCCCACGACCAGGCACAAACACACTACAATTGTATGGTGGGAATTTGGCTACATGTAGTCACAGGTTGACTCAAAAAACGGCTGCGCTCCTGTCGGGCTGCAAGCGAAGAGCTGACTTTGGTTGCCATACCAACGTGGCAACTGTTCATAGCATGGACACTACGGAATCCGCCACGCGCGCGCATGCGCGGCGCGTAACCCACCCACCGTGCGGGTCATCCGAAATCCTGTCGGTCACCGCTAAGGGTTCACTTTAGCTTCCACACCAGCTTAGTGAATACTCGATTGTGCACACTACAGAACTACGCGCGCGGGGAACTGTATAGTTTCATCGCAGGAATCTTACGCCCAAACCAATGTGAATTTAGAGATCGAATCGGGCTGCGTTCAACCCTTGACAACATCCCTGCGCCTTGACAGGCCTCGGCGCTGCTCAAGGCTTGCCGATGGCTGTCGAGGGCTATCAAGGCTTGATACGGGCTATCAGAGCATGCCAAGGACTTGCTATGCGCTGTCCAGAAAAAATAACAACGAACAAAACACCCAGACACCAAACCATCAAAGACACATCCAAGACATCGCAAACAAAAACATAGCGAGCGTGCTGAGCAATCCGTGACTCGCAAGGGCCTGGGTCTGCTGGATTGGCAGCTGACTTGCCGTCGGAGAGCTGACATCGACGGAAAAGGGACTCGGCCGATGCTCCTGCCGCTCCTCTTCCAGGATATGCGCGCTGGAATGCTTGCTAGCAACTCGTTGCTCGTGGACCGTCCGTTCACAATCCGGCACGAGGCCACTCGAATGTATCATGTCAATAAGCCCCCCAAATGCTACAGTAGTGTATTTTTCTCCCCCGTCCGCGGGGAATCGTGGCGGGCGCGCCCGGCGCGAATCCTGGTAAAATGAAGGACCAGCTTTGGCTGCACCAACCTGAACAGACAACGGACACAGAACTCCTTCCAACTGACCCCCGGCGCCATGACGCGGAACCCTGGAGGTCTCGAACCCCCTTCTGACAAGGACCGTCTGCCCCCCTATGGGGCGAAGGTCGTCAGAGACCTTCCGCCGCGATTTTGGTCACAACGCAAAGGGGGCTCAAAATCCGCGCCACATGGCTGCCAGGACCCCCTGCCGAGCTGCGTCCAGCCGTGACGGCGAGGAGGGAACCCGGAGGCCAAAGAGCCTCGAGCCTCGAGGTACGGGGGCGTCTGGGGACTTAGACGACGAGGTAGGCCACGACGACGACGACGACGTAGACGTAGACGCAGACGTAGGCGTAGGCAGAATCGCAAACGTAAACATAAACGTAGACGTGGGAGACGTAGACGTAACTTGGCGGCGCGCGCAAGGGGGGAGGGGAGAGAGGGGGACAGGCTTCCCAGAAGGAGGCCGCTTCCTAGAAGGCGCGGGCCTTACGCCCACAGCGACGGCCCGCGCCTTCTGAGAAGCAGGGGGTCTTCTGAGAAGCCTTCCACCTCCCCCCACCCCCTTTGTGCCTGGCCGGTAAATTCAAGATTCAGACGCAAACGCAGACGTAGGCGCAGGCGGCGGCCGTTCCTGGGCGAGCTGCGCTTGCCTCACGGACGTGCCCGGCTCGCGCGGCTTCGGCGCGTCGAGGTGGGAGGTGGCCACGCACGCGCTGCCGAAGCCAGGGAAGGCCAGGTCCGCGAACTGCAGGGCGCGGGCCTGGGACTTTCCTCCTTTGTCTATCTCCTCGTTTTCCTCCTCCTTGTCTTCCTCCTCCTCCTCCTCCCCCTCCCTCCTCCTCCTCCTCCTTCTCCTCCTCGTCCCTCCTCCTCCTCCTCCTCGTCCTCCTCCTCCTCCATCCTCCTCCCCCTCCTCCTCCTCCTCCTCCGCCTCCACTTCCTCCATCCTCCTCCTCCTCCTCCTCGTCCTCCTCGTCCTCCTCCTCCATCTAGCCACGCACGCGTTGACGAGTCCGGGGAAGGCCATGTCCGCGAATTGCGGGGCGCGGGACTGGGAGGTTTCCTCATGTGACGTTGGCCACACTTAAGCATCGAGGCTGTTGCGTTGTTAAGGTGACCAAGCAAGTATGGATTCCGATTTAGCAAGCCACGAACTCGAATTAAGGCTGCTGCTGGTGCGGGCACAAGACGGTATGGGAGGTTTCCTCCTCTTCCTCCTCTTCCTCCACCGTTGCAGCTTGAAACTGCGGTTCTTAGCAACGTGAGCCCATTTGGTAAGTGTTCGCGATAACGCCCGCTGCCAGCCCCGCTCCCCCAACCTTCTTCCCCTCTGATCATGTCACGATTCGCGCCAGAGCTCTCTTGAAAGCAGCCATTCTCAGGCACTCCCGAAACGGCGGCGTCGCGATTCGAGACGTTACCGGCCCTCTCCACCTCTCCCCCACTCCGGTCACTCCCGCTATCGCCAGGGGATAGAAATAATGGTTCCATACAACTCCACTTGTATTTGGGGCGGAGGGTGTTGAGATCCCTCATGGGGGAAGGTTTATCATTGTGCCCCAAACCGTGCTTGCACGTAAGGGTCCGCAGTTCTGGTCTAAGCAATCGGGCTGGTGTGTCGCTCTGGCAACTATGTCGTCGCCGTCGCCGCCCCCTCGCCGCCTCGTCACCGCCCATCGTCTGAGCTGGTTTGTCGCTCTAGCGGCGTTTGAATATCGCAGCCTTGGGGCAGGTTCGTCGCCGCCCCCGCCGCCCCGTCGCCGCTCTGGCGGCTATGTTGTCGCCGTCGCCACCCCGTCGCCGCCACATAGGTTGCTCCAAATACATTGCCCCACGCGGACTGCATCACACACGCATATATATATGCATGTATGTATGTATGTATGTATGTATGTATGGATGAATGGATGTATGTATGTATGTATGTATGTATGTATATATATAAACATATATATATATATTGCAGAACGTAAACTGTTTAGCACTGGTTGCACAACATGGATTGCACAACATACATGGTTCATCACGTATTGTACCACATGTAATGCATAACGTAGGTTGCAATCTATACATGTATATGTGCACCAAATCGGGCGAACCACATTTTAGTACCCATAATACGTTGCACCACGCCAAACGCTGGACATACATCGTCGGCCCTAAGATCAAACTCGCATCGACCGCCACCACCACCCTTGGGAATATCAGTTCGTTTTTTGTGTTTCCTGATCGAGGTGCGATCCAGCCCCATCGATCATTTAATTAACCATTTCCAATGATCCAACAAGCGGGGTTCGACCCCCCCTCCCCCACCACGGCCTGTAACAGTCGAAACGCGCGCGACGCGCTTATCACAATTCATAGACGCCTAAACGTCTCAGCGAAATATAGGACGATGTGTGCACGCGCGCGCCGTCGCGCGCGCATGCCAAGAACCCTTCAAACACACAGGGCTTCGTAAGGATTACAGAAAAAGACGATCCCGACAACGCGTAACAATAAACATGAGGCCTTGAAGCCCCAATCTTCAGAGAAATTAATTTGCGCGCTTTTCATAAAATGCGACTCGCGCGCGTGTCGGAATCCGTCGAAAATCCTTGCGCGCGCTGGGCGGTGAGGTGGGGGGACGGTCCCTGTCAAATGCCACCATTCGGGCCGCTCGCGCGCGTCGGCCGCGGACGCATGTCGAAATCCTTTCAAAGGTCCACACCGGTGCGAAGACACCAGCATCGTCATCGGTGTGACGGGCATCGGCTCCGTCATTGGTCTTGCAGTCGTCAAAACCTTCATCGTAGTCAGCCCCGCTGCTATCATAATCGCGCCTGCCATTGTCGACGTCGTCATGTTACCGCGGCCACCCAAGTCACCGACTCGTACTGAAATGCTCGCGCGTCGTCAGCGCGGCCAGCGAGACGCGTTGGGAAGTGCGATGCGGTCAGCACCACCGCGGCCGCGCCGGTCGCGCCAAACTAGCTGGCCGCTCTGCGCGCAAGCCCGCGTGCGCGCCAGCGCGGCCGCAGCGATGCGCCAGGCAGCGCCAAGCAGTCACCACAATCGCCGCCGCATGGATTTTGCAAACCAACTTGCGGGTGGGAAAATTGCGCGAGCAGTGAACCTGAGAACCCCGAGTGTTTCAAACGTGAACGCGCTGGGTAATATGTTCAACCTATATTCTCCTTTCTAAAAGACTAATAGATTCTTCCCCCCCCCCCAGACTTATCGGCTCCCCCACGCGTGCTGCAAATCACATATGATTCTGACCACATGTCCATCCTAAATATGAACTCGTACCATCCCAGCCAAGCCTTTATCCCCCCCCCTGCGGTTCCCTGTCAAATAACACTATGCGGGAACATTTTTCTTTCGAGCATAACACTTTTTCACGAATCCCTTGCAACAAATTGGACGAAGTGCACACGCGCGCGTCGTCGCGCGCGCATGCCGAAATCCTTCAAAAACCTTCGGTGCCGGAAGGATTTCGCAATCGAGTTTCCCAAAAACATACAGAAACACATGGTTTCGCAACACTGATTTGCTAAAAAAACTTCCGCGCGAGCTCTTGCGAAATCTGAAGAAAACCATTGGTTTTCCAAGATTTTCACAAAATGCTACCACACGGGCTTCGCGCGCGCGCATGTCGAAATCTGTCGAACGCCCTTGCGCGTGTGCCGTCGCGAGAATCCCCTGCAAAAAATGGGACGGAGTGCAGACGCGCGCGTCGTCGCGGACGTACGCCGAAAACCTTCAAAACCCATCGGTTTCGGAAGGATTTCAAAATCGTGCGTCCAAAAAACCTACAAGAACCCAAGGTTTCGCAACACGGATTTTCAACAAAAGCGTGCGCGCGCGCTCTTGCGTCGTCGTCGTCGTCGTCGCCGTCCTCCCTCCTCCCGCGTCGTCGTCGTCGTCGCCTACGTCGTCCTCTGTCTTTTCTCCTGTTTGTCGTCGTCGTCCTCTTTGGCGTCGTGGTCGTTTCCATCGTCGTTGTCGCCGTGGTCGTCCTTCCTCCTCCTCCCACGTCGTCGTCGTCGTCCGTCGTCGGCGTCTCATCGTCGTCCCTCCTATGTCGTCGCCGTCGTCGTCGTCGTTGTCGTCGTCGTCTTCCTCCTCCCTCGTCGTTGTCGTCGTCGGCGTCGCCGTCCTTCCTCCTTCGTCGTCGTTCGCGTCGTCACCGTCCTCCCTCCTCCTTCGTCGTTGTCGTCGCTGTCGCCGTCGTCGTCCTTCCTCCTTCCTCGTCGTCGCCTTCGTTGGCGTCGTCGTCGTCGTCTTCGTCGTCGTCGGCGTCGGCGTCGTTGTCGTCGTCGAAGTCGTCGGAGACGTCGTCGGTGTCGTCCTAGTCGTTGTCGTCGGTGTCGTCGTAGTCGGTCTTAACAGGTTTTGCAAACCAAGTTGCGGGTGGGTGGGTGGGATGTTTGCGCGAGCAGTGGAGATGACGACTTCAAGTTCCGCAGAGTGGATTGCACGACGTAGATTGCACCAGACGAGATGCACCACAAAGGTTGCATAACACAACTTGCATAACAATGATTGCACAACGTAGGCCGCGACCCATATTCACCACGCACAATGCACCACATGTACGGAACAACGAACATTGCAATGTGTATGTGCAAATCTATGTTACACAACATGGTTTTCTTGTCACACAACAAAAAAAAACATAGGATCTACTAGCCCCCACCCACCGACCCCTGCTCGACCCCCCCCCCCCCACCCTGATGATATCCGCCCCCTGGGGGGGGGATCAAATTGCAAACGATGTTGCCCCAACGTCCCTTCACTATGGGAACTCGCACCGTGCCAATCACGCTGGTTTCGACCCCCCCCCGACCATTCTCTGCAACTCAATACTAAACGCGCACATCCGTTTACCACACAACGAATCACACACATTCACACACATACTTCACGTTGTGATATGAAAAACGGACGAAGTATACACGCGCGCGTCGTCGAAAACGCATGCCAACATCTGCCAACGAACAACCAAGCGTGTCGCAAAGACTTCAAAACCGGAGGCCCCGAACGCGCAATGAAACACACTGTGTTGCACCACCCGTCATCGAAGAAGGGCGCCTGCGCACTTCTCCAAATTATTCAACGAAACTTAGGTTGATCAACGTTTCACCAAACGCAACCAATCAAGGCTCTCGCGAAAGCGTGTCGGAATCACTCGAAGGTTCTTGCGCGCATGCTGGGGGGCCACGACCCTTGTCAAACACTACCATTCGGGCCAGTCGCGCGCGTCGGCCGCGCGCGCATGCCAAAATCCTTCGAAACTTCCGCAACCGACGCGCAGGCAACATCATTGCCACTTGCGTGATCAACATTGGCGCCGCCATTGGCCTTGCCGTCGTCCTTCTTATCGTCGCTACTAGCATCGCTACTACCTTGATCGTGTCTGCCGATGTCGACGTCGCCATGATACCGCGCTCGCCCAACTCACTGGCTCGTGCTGAAATGCCCGCGCGTCAGCGCGGCCTGCGGGGCGCGCTGGGATAGGCCCAGCGGTCAGCGCCACCGCGGCCACTTTGTGCGCAAACCCACGCGCGCTAGCGCGGTCGCGGCGATGCGCCAGGCAGCGCCAAGCAGACATCACAATCGCCGTCGAAAGGGTTTTGCAAACCAACTTGCGAGTGAAAGGGGGGATGCGTGCACGAGCAGTGAAGCTGAACCGTTCACGGACGAACGCGAACCGATTGCATCACACATATGCGTGTGCAGGCGGGGGTTAAAGCGGTAGCTCATAAGGAATAAAGG